ACTAACTCTGCAGCAGCACTTCTTCTTCGTCGTCTCGTCTGATGCACTCACTCAACCAAGCGTTCTAACCACAACCTCGCCCCTCCCCACCCCCCAACCATTCAAATTTCTGTAGGCGGGAATTATTTGTAATGATATTCCAATGAGCCGCTTTGAGATATCACAAAGCCCGGAAAACAAACGCTGTAGTCCAAACGAGCCATTCGTTGTAGTTATTGAAAAGGGATTTTTTTAAAACGAAATATCTCCCTTTGGAGTGGACTTTGAGATTTGTAACTTTCTAGATCTTTTTTATGCCCAAACATACACACTACACACTGACTAAAATTAAAAAATTAAAAAAGTGAAAAAGCATAATAGGACCCCTTTAACAAATTTGGTCCGTTTAGAAACTTTGCCGTGTGAAAGCGAACCGCACCAGGAATAAAAAGCAACATTGTAATAATTTTAATCCCTGTTTCGGAACAAAGCAATCGATCTACAGGTGTGAAAGCACCCTTAGTTTCAATGAAATGCCATATACATATCTCAACGCAGCTGATGTTTTTTGGTGTGAATCATTCACTCAACAGATTCATTAAAAAATGCTGACCTATTCAGGTACAAAGCAGTGGATGGCTCCATTCAAAATCACAAAGATATATTGTATAGAGGTACATAGCATAGCAAATGTTATTTTTGCATTCCCAATATTGTGTGACAATACTTGGATATTAAAAGGTTAAAACAGCAGGCTACAACTAAAATGTATTTTGTACAGTATGTAAGTATACCTTGTTTCCAGGGATGACTCCTCCCCAAAATGCTGTGTCTACAAAACACTGCCCTGTAGCAGCACGCAACTTCTCATGAAAGTTTCGAAGAGTTGTAGTTGGTGGGATGCTGTTTCTGTGTACCATGAAATTAATCACCGTGTCAGTTTTATGTTATGTATCAACTATTTATCAATCATATTATTTCTTAACAGTATCCAAGAGAGTGGGGGAGAATTGTAACTTTTTTTTTTTTCATTCATAACTCATAGAGTCTCCAGATCTACCATCCATTATAATTGAAAAGCAGTTCAGTCATTATTATTGAATTTTAATTTGAAAGTCTATACACACAGAGGCATGTCTACAATTGTGGTGACTCCTCCAGCAGCAGCTGCTCGCGTGGCGGTCCAGTACCCTTCCCAGGAGGAACGGCCTGGCTCATTAACATGAACATGACAGTCCACTATACCTGGCATTACCATACTGTTCCCCACATCCAGTACCTGTTATAGAGATGCTGTCTAGTTAGTGCAGGAATGAAAATTGTTTGAGGTTCAATTAAATTGTTTTGTTATAGGGATGTTAAAAATAAATATCAAACCTAATCTATTGACCAACAAATATTGTAAATAATAAATTTAAAACAGTTGAAAACAGTGACATCTTACCCCAACCCGAAATTTATGAAAAATACTCTTGTTTTGTTAGGGATGTAAGTATTTTAAAATAAAGCATACTCCATTTTAATTCTCATGCTAGGCTGTTGTTGAAAATAAGAACTTGTTCTTAAGTGACTTGTCTGATTAAATAAAGGTTAATAATAATAATGCTAGGCAACAATACAATTAATTGAACACATATTGCCATTTATAGACATTTGTTTACTTTGTACAATAGTGGGACAGGTTGTCGTAATGAAACCTGCAAAAAAAAAAGCATTGTAAAGGCTTTTTTAGCTAAATTTAAATAATTATGAAACAAAAATGATAACAGATAAATATCAAATCATTCTGTTTACCAACAACTATTGTAATTAATACATTTATGAAAAAATATATTTGTTATAAGAGCATAATTCAACCTTTTGGTTAATATCTACCTTTATAATATAATTGACCCTTTCTTTAATGCCAGTGTAATTTTATTGAATTCACTTCTTTTTACCCACTAATACTTATTAGTTTAGCTAGTTTAATTAGCGTATTTTAGTAAATTCCCATAAAAATTAAGGAGGCTTTGAAAAAGGTGCTTACTGACTTTTCTGACTTTCACATTTTCTACAATAATTTCAGTGAAATAAAACCTTCACACAGGAGTCGTTATGGGTTAAACCTGAGGACTGCAATGCTTGTGGTCTCCAGCAGGTGGAGATGTCTCACTCTCACAGTCTAGCTCACCTTTCCAGCTGTGTGCATGGAAGCTTCTGAATCAGGCAGAATGCAATGAATCTTTCCTTCCTTTATTATGATAACTGCAGGTCGAATTTCCTCTCCACACAAAACCCTCTGGCTCCGCACAGCACTGACAGTTGATCCTGGCTCCATGTCTGCAATGTATCTTATGTTGCCTATATGAGCTTCTGTCTTTCACTGTCCTGGCAGCAAAAGCTTTCACTCTAAGGTCAATGTATCTCCCTCATTGATCTTTATGCGAGTGTCAGCAGGTAGATAAAAGTTCTTTGACCTGTAACATTCAGATTGTTAATAAAAAGTAATTCAAGTAATTTCTTTTAAGAAGAGTGTTAAATAACAAGCATGGCAGAATCATACTGAATACATACAGCTGGATGTTGTGTGGCAGACTAGGATTAGATTTGTTTTTGTGTGAGTATTGTGGACACCTATAGGTTGCATTATCCTGTATCATTATGCTTTCATTAGCAGTATTAATTCTAGTTAAAAGCTTGTCCCTTTAAGACGGTATCAGGCATCAGGCCCACACCAGCACTCCTTTAGCTGGATAAATTATTCAAAGCATTGCTCTGCTGAGCTGAGACAGAGGAGTAGGGGTTGGAAGGAGAAAGAGACAGAAGGAGAGAAAAGCAGCCACAAGGGACTGCTCAGACTGGCATTGTGTCTAACTGAATGCTGTGGCTGCTCGGCGCTTACTGTGCCTTCCTGCCTGGCCATATCCCATAGTAAATCAAAGAAATGTCCCATTTCAATTCAAAATCAAAAGAAAAAAAGAGAAATGGTTGCATAAAATAAGTATATGAAAAAAAAAACAGTCTTAGCACTCAGCCGCAATCAGAAAAAATTACATCCAATACAGCAAATACATTGATAATTTATTATTAATTACTGTTTTCTGGGTTTACATATATTCATTATGGTAATGAAAATATATTTTGACATGACAGTACTGACAATGGGGGTTTTGATTGTCAAATAATGTCAAAATGCAAAACAATTTGAATGATCATAAAATAATTCTTAATTCTAGAAAAAGTGTATTAATTAATAATAAATTATACATATTATGACCCAGATTTGTGTATTAATACACTTGTTTAAATAAATGAATTTATTACATTAATAAAAAATATTTATTTTTTATATTTGCATTTGATTGTGAGTGTATACGCACAGTGGGTATAAAAGATTTTAAAAAATCATGTTCGATTTTTTTTTCCACCTTTAATGTTGAAACCAATACAATTCATGTAACAAAAACAAAAAGTGGAATGGAGACTGGAATGGAATGGAGATGGAAATAAAAAGCTTTTGACTTTGAATCCCATGCATAATAACCTCTGTTGTCTTCTTTAAAATATATTCATGGCTGCTGGGTTATCCTTAAGTCTTTCAAAATTACTTTGTCTTTTTATTTTTTGCATAAATATAACTATTTCACTCTCTAATATTTGTTAATATTACTTTAATTATTGATTTGTACACTTAAAATACTTATCAGATTATTAGAAACCCAACATAGACTCGTTTTATTCAGTAATAAAAATGTTATAAAGATACACTAATGGCAAACTTAATACTGATTCCATAATGAGATATATTTCTTTACTGTGTCATTTCCTTTTAGTCTAATTCAGTTCCTGATTTTAGAAAATGCAAACAGAGGCTGAGTCAGAAGAATAGAGGTGGATTAATGTCAGTGGGAAAAGCTTCCTTTATGAATGTGTTACATGGGTTTACTGGATTTGTGGGGAGAGCACAGTTCAATTTGCTCTAATAGTTTGTGAGCTGAGAATAATCCCACTGGAAAGCTGATTTATTTTTTTTTGGCAGATAGCTCAAAAGAAAGGCCAAAATGAGGTCAAATATTATTTACAGATCTTTGCAATTAATTTCAATGTATTTTTAGAAAAAAAAAAATTTAAATGGTTAAATATTGTAAGTTATAAGCAACACTGTAGAACCATAGTTTCTAAAAATATATATTTATAGTAAAACATTTTTGACTTGAATATTTTATTTATTTATTATTTGTTTGTTTTTATTCATTCATTGTTGCATAAGTATTGATAGAACATTAAAGCTTAGAAGTTGTAATAATAATAATAATAATAATCCTTCCTCCTTAATAATAATAATAATAATAATACAATTGTATTTCAATTACCCCTAAACTTGCATAAAAATTAAGATTTTTTTTTATCATCAAGAATTTAAGACAAGATTTTAACCTTAGGAAATTAACAATGTAAATAAAGTGTATTAATAAAACCAAATTTTACTTTAGCGTAAGCATTGATGGAGTGTTAAAACTTAGACGTGGAAATAATAATAATAATAAGAAGAAGAATTTGAGACAAAATTTTAACCTTCAGTATAATCTGTATAGCCATTAAAGGAAACCCAACATGGACTAATTGTATTCTGTAATGCATATTTCATAAAGATACATTAATGGCATTACTTATTTTCGTAATGATTTGTTTTGTGTGTGTGTCATTTTCTTTTAGTGCCTTATTCATTTCCTGGAAAATGCAAACAGATGCTGAATTAAAATGATTAGAGGTGAATTTTTATAAATATTAAATATTATTATGTATTAAAAATCATATTACATTTTACTTGGTTTCTTTTGGCATACCACGCACATGCAGTCCAGCATTAGCCAATGAATCTTATGTTATGTAGAGCCATGTTTGTGCGTGAGTGTGTGTGTGTGTGTGTGTGTGTGTGTGTATCGTACTCCGCAGGGAATCTAATCCCCATCCCCCTCTCCTCCCCCTCTCCCTCTCTTCCTCTCTACTGCATTGATGCTATTGCCTTCCTCAGTGATGATGTCACTGCTTCAGTCAGTCTCAGCATCACTGCTCTAGGCAGCCGGCAGAGCCATTTTGGCTTCTACATTACAGGGCACTCAAAGATCTCTCCTCCAAGAAGCCTTCCTCCTTACAAGCAGGCCTCACCGGGCATCCAGCTACACTTTGCTACACCTCGCTGGAACAAATAAAGGATCCTGTTAAACAGGGGGAAAAGAAGATTGTTTTCGACATTTCAGAGGAAGAGCTCAAAAAAGAGAATTTGGGCAGCCAGCACAAGAGGCAGTAGTGGGAGCTGAACTGTAGAGTCAATAGCTGAGAGCATCAGAGGATCACCATCGTAAAGGTAAGAGTTTTTTCATTGTTCTAGAGGACAATGCAGTATTAATGAGGCTCTCTGTTTATTTGGTGTTGGGTCACCAGGGTGGGACTGCCGTGGGGTGCGGTCATTTAGAGCCTGTCAACAAATCCAGACATTATTATTATGACAGAGAAGTGTTTTTTGATTTGAGTATTGGAACAGATGTTGTTCATCATAAATGATCCTCTGTCCTTGTGTACATATTTCTAAGTGCGGGTGGAATAAATGCACTGTCATTCATTGTCTCAGGCTGGCAGCCACACAGTAATGTCTTCAAGATTGTACTAATGAATCACGATTTGAGAATTTACCAGAGAACAGAGAAATAATTATTATTTATACTTTTTTTTTTTTTTACAGGACACATTTTTTTTTTCATTGATATGGTTGCGAGTTGGGAACACACACATATGAAATTGCGTATGATTCCCACTGTGCAATAATAGCACTATCTTCTACATATTATGTCACGCAAATGAATGATTTATGTAGATTTGTTGACACTTAAGAGCGCAATGACCAATGACAAAAAAACCTTGATTTTTCTTCCGTTATGAATTTATGATCTACACTGCAAAATATTACCTTAAAGGTATAGTTCACCCAAAAATTAAAATTCTGTCATCATTTACTCACCTCCAAGTTGTGCCAAACCTACTTTATGTGATCATATTTAAACTAACTGGTTATATTCAAGTCAAAAATATTATTTAACAAGTCTTACTTAAGTGTTACACAAATGACAGTAATTTTCAAGGGTCAGATCAAGTAAACAGGCTTAAAGGGACAATTGACCTAAACATGACAATTTTGATCAGTTCACCCAAAAATGAAAATCATTTACTCACCCTCATGTTGTTCCAAACCTGTATGAATTTCTTTCCTGTGTGGAACATAAAAGAAGATATTTTGAAGAATGCTAGTAACTTAGTTGCTGGTAGCCATTGACTTCCATACAGTAGGGAAAAATGCAATGGAAATCAATGGCTACCAGCCACTGTTTGGTTACCAACATTCCTCAAAATATCTCTTTGTGTGTTTTTGTATCTCCTTATTTTTGAGTGAACTTTCCTTTTAAGGCACTGTTTCTACTTGATCTGACCCCTTAAATACTGTCATTGGTGTAACAATTAAGAAAGACTTAAGTAATATTTTCAACTTGAATACAACCAATGAATTCATACATTACCCCACTAAAGTACATTTTTTAGGTTACATGACAATATTTAATTAGGTTAATCACAAATTGTTTATAATAGACGTGAATAGGATGATTAATCAACATGTAATCCAAAATCCACAATCCAAAACAATTGAATAGTTTTCACTTCATCACCTAAATAATACTAAAAACTGCAGCTTTCTGACTTCTTTGTAAACGGACATGCTGCCTTTGAGGTTCATGTCAAATAGTCTAATCAGGGCTGCCCAAACTCGGTCCTGGAGGGCCGGTGTCCTGCAGAGTTTAGCTCCAACCCTAATCAAACACACCTGAAGCAGCTAATCAAGCTCTTATAGGCATACTAGAAACTTCCAGGCAGGTGTGTTGAGGCAAGCTGGAGCTAAACTCTGCAGGACACCGGCCCTCCAGGGCCGAGTTTGGGCACCCCTGGTCTAAGTAGACTAGAGAGTAATGAGAGAGACTGAACCCACTCCGCCACACCAGAATGTGACTCAGCGTGATATTAGTCTAATTGAAAAAAGCAGAATGCAGCTCACATGAGATCACTATATGTGCTCTTTCACATTTATTCAAGTAGACCTCTTAGTTACTGAAGCAAACTGCTTATAAACAGAAGTAGAACTTGTTGAAAATGAGATTGAGGCTTATAGGTCATAAATCTTCCCTGACACATAAATTGTACCTCCATTTTGGTCTGACTAGGAGACTGAGCTGGACTCAGAGTTTGTGGCAGCCAGCTCTGTTATCTGTTATTGTAATCCTAGGAAGCATACTGACATTTAGCCAGTTGTGCAATTCTTTTGTTGCTGCTGGGCCGAGTATCTCTCTAGATCCGTAGCTAACCATGCATGATCATTTTACGGTGAATTCATAGACACAGTCTTCCTCTTTGATCTGAACATTGACATATTGAACATTTTTCAATTTATTGTTTAACCTCATCATAAGTCACCACTGAAATCTTATTTTTGCTTGTCATGCCTGTCATCGCTTCATGCCATTTCTTTATAGATACAACAGAAATTATACTCATAGTTGCTATGGTGATAGGCAGCTAAGATTTACAGCCTTCCCGAAAGTAGATGTAATTTAATTTCCAATTGAGAATGGTCTAAATCAATATTTCTCTGCTCATATATAGTAATGGAGCTACTAGTAATATCCTCTCTTTTTTCAGAAGTGCTGCACATAGATGAAGGATAATAGATTTTACTGTAAATTCAGTGTATATTACATTTTTAGTGCATTGATCAATATGTATCAGTCAATTAGTAAGCAGTTTTTCATGTGTAATTATTATAATGTATATATTTAATAACAATATAACTATAACACATTATAAATGTAAAAATAATAACAATAGTAAACCAATAATTTATATTATATTTTATTTTATTAGATATTATATTAAATATAATATAATAGATAAAGATATAGATATTCCAGTTTTTTGTTTGTTGAAATCGGTGTCGTCATGTTTCATTTCTCTCTTTGCAGGTGTGAGCAGTGACCTGGACTTTTAAAGGAGTGCTTTCCGCACACACGCAGAGGCACCATGGCAGGGGCCTCGGTGAAGGTGGCGGTGAGAGTCCGTCCCTTTAACTCTCGTGAGACCAGTAAAGAGTCCAAGTGCATCATCCAGATGTCAGGAAACACAACCAGTAAGTAACCCAACTGCACCTGACATCCAGCAGTTAAATCACTAAGAATACTCAAAACACTCAAGTTTAGAGAGCATGACTTTTATTGTGTGTCTTAATGTTGTTTTCACATGCGTGTGTTGTGTGTTTATGGGCCCTGTCTGAGTGTTTGACCTCATTGCATGGATTTCATAAGGGCAGCCATTTTGAGATGTTGTGGGACAATAGTTTACTGATCAGTGAACTGGGGGCGAATAAACTCACCAAATCTAATCCGACATTCATTTCATAGTCGGCCATTAATCTAATGTGGCTACAGAAATTGAGAGTTATTAAAACAGAGAAAAAAATAGAGGGATGTTGCAATTAACTTACTTTATGACAACTGACAAGCAGCAATGTCAACAAGCACTACTGCTGTAATTACTAGTGATTTTGGTTTGCTGTTTTTGACAGTTGTCATGCAACCACTTGTTTAGCTGGTAGGGTGTGTGGTCATTTTCAAAGGAACTAATGAGGAGACATCATTTTCTTTGTAAAGGATGTTGTGTTGTAAAGGATCATAAAATCAAGACATCTTAAATGGTTAGATGAGGTAGAAGATATGTGTGTGTGTGTGTGTGTGTGTATGCTTGCATGGTCTCCAATTAAAAACATTAAGTTATATCCTAAATGGTCACAAGAGGGGACCATATTTTGTTGTTGGGTAAACAAGTGAGAACAATAAAACTACATAGAGCCAAGGGTCAACTATATAATGAAAGTAGATTATTTAACTGAAAGGTACAACTATGCTCTTAGGACAAGAGTATTTATCATAATTGTCAGCTTGGGGCAAGGTGTCATATGTGTTTTACATGTTGCAGTTTTATATAATTTACATAAGTTTTGATTTTGAGTAGTATTACAGTTTAAAATAACTGTTTTAGATTTTTATATTATATTATATTATATTATAGGGTTGACAACAAGCTTGAAAACATGTTCTACAGGATTTTGGCAAAAGGTCAGTGAGTGTTTAATGAACTGTTCCTTTTTCATGGACAGTAATTGTTTTTGCAGCCAAGACTTAAATGTATGTGCCTGTTGACTTGATAAAAATGAACTGTATAAAAATGGTAAGAATACAAAAGTGATTAAACTAGTCCTGGTCGCCACTTTATTATTATTTTTCCTTTTTATCCTATAGTGTGCTCTAGAATGTTACAGATGGGTTAAACATATTAAGAATATTATTTTAAATTGGAATTTGGATATTGTAGTACTCCTTTGTAAATGCCATTTTTACATTATGCAATTTTTCAATAATGTCATGCAGCAGATGATTTCTTGGTTCTTAGCGTGTGAATGTGCTCGAAGAATTGAGGGAACTGATGGTTGACTGGAGAGAGATTTGATTTCTAATCTGCCTGGCTGGGCGAAACCATTGGTCAATAATGGATGAGAGCTTGTGAAATATTTAGAGTTTGGCCTAATTTAGCTTCCTCCCTTCCACCTTGTGTTGCTTCAGAAAAACAATGTGTCCACCGTCGTCTTTGTAGCTGAGGTAGTTTTTGATAGAGTGTTGATGTTTACATCAAATATTGAGTCAAAAACTAGAATGGGTCAAGAGAAACTGCAGTAAAAAGCCATACATCATTTGTTATACCTTTGTCTATTTGTAAAAACAAAGTGCACATACAAAAGGGTCCTGATGATAGCACGTGTAATATTACACCACAGTATTGTTGTACAGCTTAGGTCAAGGGTTTTACGAAGGAGATGCATTGGGCCTGGCAAATCTGTAAGCCATGTTGCTGAAGATATTTTTTGTTGTAAGGGCACTGAGCTAGTGATGCATAATGTAAAATGACATTGTTTGTAGAGTGATAACAGTGAAAGCCTAATACACTCAGTTCTTTTGTTTTAATGGGTCAAGACTGTGAACCTTAAATAATAGCAAAATGAGCCATCAAAAGCAATAACATATTCACTGTCATTGTAAATGGATTGTGCATGTCAGCCTTCTGTCAGATCTTTAATAGTTAGAGATGAACATCACTGCTCTTACAATATGTTTAAAATCACATCTGCCATTAACTCAAGTGGTAATGGAAAAAAATCTATACAATATTATATTGTAACAAAAATTGTAACTGTACATTTATTTGCCAATTACATTATTATAACATAGACACACACACACACACACACACACACACACATATATATATATAGAGAGAGAGAGAGAGAGAGAGAAAGAGAGAATGTCCATGATACAGTGTGATTATACAATTAATTACTGAATAATATTAATTTAGGTAACATTTTATTTAAAGGTGTCCTAGTTACATGTACTTACTATTATAATAACAATTAATTATGCATAATTACATGCAAGTAACCCTAAACCAAACCAAATCTTTACCCTAACCACATAGTAAGTACATGTAGTTAATTAATATTACTCAGTACTTATATGTATAATTACACTGTAACAAGGACACCTTAAAATAAAGTGTAACCTTAATTTACTTGTGCTTACTATAGGGTTTGGTTTAGGGTTAGTTTTTATGTAATTATGTTACATTTACTGTTATTACCATAGTAAGTACAGTACATGTAACACGTGTAACAAGGCCACTTTAAAATATAGTGTTACTAGGGCTGGACCAGAATATTCGATCATTCGAATATTCGTTCGGTGGGTTGACATTCGATTTTCAATTTTGAGATTCGAATATTATTTTTTTTTTTTCTCGAACACCTGGCATCCCCCGCGAAACGGTTCTCATTCGCGCTTGAATATGAATCGCCCATGAGTGAAGGTCATGAACGTCATGATTCAGTTAATCTGGAGCACTTTAAATTGAATGAGGACAAGACAAAGGCAGTGTGCCAAATATGCGATTTGAAACTGGCCTACCACAACAGCACATCAAGTTTGAAAAATCACCTGAGTTCTGTAAGTAGTACGCCTATAGTATATTGTTGATGTAAAAAAAACGAGATGCTTTTATCCGCCAGTAATATTAATCAGTAATTTTACACATGATAAAAACGTGCACTTAATTTGCTTGGAAAATACTTGCGAATACGGCAGTCATAAAAAAACGTACAGTAGCCCAGCCTAATAATAATTTGTCTATATTAAATGTATTGCTCTTAACAGACCTGTGTTTTTGTATCACTAGTGCAGTGTCCGTTCTCGGAGAATGTAAGCCCTGCCAGCGTGAGGCACGCCGCTTCCCGATCGCGCTGTTCTGTAGTTTAAGTTTATTAATTATGAACGTGTCGCGTGTCCATATTGCACCAAAATGCGACACTGCACTCCCTTGGGTCCGCAGCAACACACCCCCCACGCGTGAAGTCGATTGGATGAACGGTTCTCGACATAATAAAAATGTAAACAGACAGACAGACACACAGAGATTCCTGCCTTTATTACACTGTGTCTACACCGGACGCGACAGTTGCTGAGCCGCGCCCCAACAGCTAAAGTCTGTCTACACTGGACGCGAAAAAGCGACCGTTGAAAATCATTCGAAATTTGTGTCAATAGCCTACGTCATAAATAGAACGCAGCAGCAGTTTTCTGTCTGGGATTTGTCATGTCGCGCCGCGCCGCATCCAGTGTAGACAGCATCACTGATTATAATGAGTTCTATAGTAGTTTGCCGCGCCGCGCCATTCGCGTCCGTTGTAGACACGGTGTTAGAGAGAAGAATATGTTCAGCCCCCTCCCTAGTGTTACCTTTTTTCCATATTGTCAGTATCCCCAATCATTTGTATGTTTCAGCATATATCCAAACATACAAATATGTGTGTGTAAACATGAATATCCATGAAAATCTGTGAATACTAATGAATCCAGGCTGTTCTATTTGACATTTTTTGCATATGACATTAAGTTTACTTCTCACTCTGTCATAAAAATATTTAACATTACTCTAACCATTTACAAATTAATTCTGGCATACTTGCAGACATTAACACATCTTGACGCATTGCTAAGTTGAAAATTTAAAGTGGATTCAAATGCACATCTGGCATGCCTAATTAAGACAATTTTGATTAATATTACATAAGAAATGTTATGTAAAAATAAGATCTTGAAAAGATTATATATTTAATGAGTACATTCCAGTTTGTCATATATTATGTCCATTAGCTCTCTTAGATCTTAGTATCTGCTTCATCTGTGCTAGATTTTTTAATAATTACCTTTCAAATTTTGATGAATTTAATTGGATAATTGGATTCTAACCTGACTACCTTTGTGACATATTGTCTCAGCACTGCAATGCTGTAAGCCAGCGTACAGCACAGCATTCATTTGAAATGCAAGATTACCTGCACAGACTGCCTGTGTGGTTTGCCTGTGTCTGTTCAGAGTCCATTCAAAGACATCTTTTCAAAGCTCTCAACACAATCACCAGGATGCTTCAACCGATCTGTATAAAGCCCCAGTGGAGTGGCGTAAGAGATCTATTCCAAATCTAATGTGAGAAACATTCAATTACTTAACATGTTTGACCTTCTTTTGATGTTTGTTTGTTGTTTATGTGGAGTTATGTCTTTGTGAATGCGTTCTGTAGGGCACTTTACTAGAATTGCAGAGGCAAAAAATGTGCTAATATGCATAAACACAAATGCAAACACATCTTTCTGAATTGTTTTGTAGATTGCTGTCCTTTGCTACTTTGAAAAGTAGACTTGGTGTTCGGCAAGAGGGTCGATGATGTCATGAAAGAGCCTTTCTAGTCAGCAGTAATTTGGAGAGAGGCCAGTCCCAGTCTTAATCTGAGGGTGTAAACAACTGCTTGCATTGTCACTGCTGCCAGCTTGAGATGGGTCAATAGCAGAGTTCTCACAAAGCTGCAGAATGGTGGAAAGCTAAGCGATTGACAGCTCTGACTGGTTTAAGCCACCCTACTATCACTGAGGCACCATTGGGCCGCTCACTCAAGTTCTTGTAAAAGAGTTTCCTTTTCATAGGAAATTGTCTCATTACCAAGTCACAGAAGATTTTAACTCTGGTC